AACAAAAAACAATGAAAACATATCCTTGGGTGAGGATTGGAGAAAAAAAAGCTGCAGGTGGGCTAGTCAAATAATAAAGTAGTAGGGACAACTGGCTAACCATGAGGTAAATAGTAAAATGGGATCTCTGACACCAAATATTCCAGATGGACTGAAAATCCAAGTGTGAAAACCTATCTTAAACATATACATCCCGCCCTGGACAGTTTGGCTCAGCGGTTAAAAGCGTCGGCCTGCGGTCCGGAGAGACCCGGGTTCGGTTCCCGCTAAGGGCACATACTTCGGTTGCAGTTTGTCCCCAGCCCTGGTTGGTCGTGCGGGTGGCAGCCACTCGATGTGTCCCTTCACGTCGATGTTTCTCTCTCTCCCTTCCTCTCTCTCCCTCCCACTCTATCTGTACAAAAAATGGAAAAATATCCTCGGGTGAGGATAAAAAAAAAACAAAAAACAAAAAACAAAAACATATACATCCCTATTGGACTGTAAGCTCCTTAACTTAGAGTCTGTATCGCACAATTGTGTATTCAATCCTATTTAGTATATACAACCACTACGATGATAGAAAATCTTTGTAATTTGAATATCTATCTCAGGGTAGGAAAGAATTCCTTAATATACTAAACAGCATAAACCATCAAAGAAAAAACTGATAAATCTGATAACACTAAAACTAAAAACACTTGTATAACAGACGACTACATGATTAAAGTTAAGACAAGACAGAAACAAAATAAAACATGGGGAAATAGTACAGATTTGGAAAGTATAAAAACAAACCAAATAGAAAATGGGTAAATGACAGAAATAGGTAATTCATAAAAGAGAAAACCTAGAGAGTTGAAAAATGTATGAGCAAGATGTCTAGTCTCACCAGTAATCAGGGAAATGCAAATTAAAACGAGGTATTTCATACCCATTAGATTGAGCAAAAATTTAAAACCGATAAAACCAAGCGTGTAGATGAATATATGGGGAAATAAAAACTCTTACAACCCACTGTAGAGAACAACTGGCAATAGGTAGTTAAGTTCATGATAAACTTCCAGGAGTCTACCCTAGTGAAATTCTTAACACAGGTTCACTAAAGAGATGAGTTTAAGAATGACAACTGCAGCACTGTTTGTAAAAAAGGGGAAAAACAACAACAACACAACTGTCTCTCAGTAAGAAACAAACTGTGGTTTAATTATACAATGGAGTTCATAAACGGTTAAAAATGAATGAATTAGATTTATATATATCCAAAGGATACTTCTTAAAAGCTTTGTTTATTTAAATAAATAAATAAATAAATAAAAGGCAAGATATTCGACACAGATAGGTACAGCATATTTAAGAAACATAAAATAATTGATATTATATTCCAAAATCCTTACTGAAAAAACCCTGACTCCCAGATAACATGTTCTGTCATCTGCACTCACTGGAATCCTACTCATCCTTTAAGAAGCTTTCTTTGATTACACCAATCTGAAGAAATCTTTCCATCTCTGCTCTCATGGCACTTGGTATCACCTATGTGACAGGTATTACAGGTGTGAAAGACCTCTTTTTTTTTTTAATGTCCCAAATCTACTAGAATATGAGTTTCTTAAGGTTAGGGGCATTATCTTACACTATCTTTGTATTCACTTTTAATTTTTAAAATATATTTATTTAAAAAATTTTAAGTTTATTGATTTTAGATAGAGGAAGGCGGGGGGAGAGAGAAGAGAAACATCAATTTGTTGTTCCAGTTATTTATGCATTCATTGGTTGACTTTTGTATGTGCCCTGAAAGGGATCGAAACTGCAACTCTGGCATATGGGGACAGCGCTCTAACTGACTGAATTACCCGGTCAGGGCTACGACTTTGTATTCAACTTAATAAATAGCGTTGATTTAAAATTTAAAAAAGCTTAATAGGACATGGTTCTGCCTCAAGGAGATTATGAGTTTATAATGCAGTAGAGGGAAATAGACATGTAAATAATTATAATTGTAAGAGTTATAAAAGCAGCATAGTGTCATGGATAATAAAAGAGGGATTGTATCCCACACAATGCCCGGCAAACAGCAGGCATTCAATCTGTATTAGTCTAACGAACTGGTGGAGGCCAAGGAAAGAGGGGTGCTTGCAGTAATTGAGGGCAGTCAGCATAGAGGAACAACGACATGGAAGTATTTTTTCCCCTAGGCAAGGCGACAGGATGCGAGTTTGACGAGGGGAAAGTCGAAGAAATGGTGTTGGGGAGGTCGTTAAGGGTCTGCAGGGTTGGGGTGGTCGGCCCGGAGTTAGGTTTGGAGTAAGGTGAGGAAGGAAGAGGATGATCCGATTGGAAAACAGCTCAGCACAGTACCTTTCTCATTGCGAACCGGTACGGCACCAGCCGTGGACTGAATGGGCGGTTGTTTCATGAGTGCGCTTGGGACCGACATGTTCACGGCAGCTGTGGTACTCCCGAAACTTCACTGATTCCAGACAGCAACACCTACAATTGTCAAAGAACAGAAAAATTCTCCACCCAGAGGCCCTGGATGCTGCAACGCGACTGACGGAAACACCACTTACGGCCGAGCTAGAAAAACCGGAAGTATGCGACCAGAGGATTGTGGGATTGTGGAGGATGTCCGGACGCCAACCACTACTGCGCATGTACTTAGTCAGCCCTCTAGTCCTCAGTCTCGCAGTATTTGGACTTCACTTCTGGCGGGAAATTGCTTCATTTAATCTTTGCTGTTAAGATCCTTGTGACGAGGGAGGTCAGAATTAAAGATTTTGTTTGTTAGATTGGTTAGAAGCCAAAGAAAATGGGATAGTGACGAGTAAGAAACTTTGGAGATAGTGAAGGGCAGTTTGTCCAGACTGTTGAGAGCTCAGAGTTTCGTTGGGATAGAAAGCCTGCTATAGCACCTGATTAGCTAGCTCAGTTGATTAAGCTGAATGGGTTGTGGGGTGTATTGTGGGGATGTCAGGGCAGGTGCTGGTGATTTAGGTCAGACACACAGAATCCAGCAAGGGCTTGCCTTGGACAATGCCTGAAATCTGAACACTCTACTTTTAGGTTTTCCAGTTCAAGTTTTCAGAGACCACAAATTAAAACATTCTTGCCTGGGCCCTGGCTGGTTTGTCTCAGTAGTTAGAGCCTTGGCTGGTGGATCAGAGAGTGCGGGGTTTGGTTCCAGCTAAGAACATGTGCCTCTGTTGGGGTTCATCCCCGCCCCAGTAGGGGTCATCGGGGTGGCAACCAATTGATGTGTCTCACCTTGATGTTTCTCTCTCTCTTCCTCCCTCTCTCCTTCCCGCTCTATCTGAAGATAAATGCAAAAATGTCATCAGGTGAGGATAAAAAAAAATTCCTGGCTGGAAAGTTTTTATATATAAGTCCATAAATTTTAAGTATTTGCTGTGTTTACCATGCTTAGCTCTCTGTAAGTAGTATGGGATAATGTTAAACTCTTCATGTCCTCAAGAAGCTTGAATTTTAAAATAAAAAATATAAACAAGAAATATAAATATGAAAAAATAAAAGAAGCTTGAATTTTATTCAGAAAGTCTTCAAGGGCACATAGAATCATAACAAGCTATTGCAATCCACTGGCTGGGGTGTTTTAAAAACACTGGCTAATTGGAAGTCAGAACACATTTCACCGTAAAATGGATTTTATGGCTCCTGTGGTGGGAGAGAAGGGACAGCATGAACAAGCTCTTGAAGTCCAGAAACAACATGGTATAATATAACAGACATTATGAAAAGTTTGATTTTACCAGTAATTTTTGAGTCAAGGAGTGGTGAAAGTTTGGCAGGCATTAGAGCCTGGAGGGCTTTGCAGGTGCTGTTAACAGGATTAGTTCTAAAATGATCTCACCTGTGTTTCATAATTGGGCCTCGGCTGGGAGAAGAAATTATATTGGACAAGTCTAGGACAAGGAACAGTGGAGGACCCACGTAACTAACCAAGGAGGCAGTTTTGGGCTGAAAAGAAAAGGAGCTTACTTTATAATATGAATTTATAAGCTCCAAAACTATGCTGTCAGAGGGAGTAATTTGTTAGGGAGGCAATTGCTTTGGCTCATGGAATACAGAAAACAAAAACAATTTTAAAAAATATGGCTGTATCTAGCTTTGCGCAGTGGCATTGTCATAGCCCATGAGGTTTATGTGAGGCATGGTTATTGCCAATTGAAGAAAAAATGATATAACAAATACAGTGCATTAAAATCTGATGTTATTTTGTGATACACAAATTATTTGATTCACTTTTCCCCAGCCTTTAGGCTTTCTAAGGTCATCACTAGTATCATAGTTAACTGGTGGGCAGATGATCAGGTGAAATTTAAACCGACAAAAAGTTATCAGCTTTTGAAAAAAAGAAAAAGCGTCCTTTCCTAGGAAGAAGATAATATGGTAGGCAAAGGGCATACTATTCTGGTGGTGGCGTTATAAGGATCTAGGGAGCCCAAGGTAAAGGTGGGACGTTGATTTTGATTTTTGTTTTCCTCTCTATTCCTTAGGGCATCTAAGTGAGTCTGAATCTTTTCCAGGATCACGCTGCAAGGAAAGATAGGTGTTTTTTTTTTTGGTACATGCCCCTAGCGGGAACCTAACCGGGAGGCCGATGCTGCAACCGCTGAGCCAAACCAGCCAGGGCGCAAGATAGTTTTTCCTCAGCAAAAGCGCTAGTGTTTTTCAAAGCGAGATCCTAGCACCAGCAGCATCAAAATCACCAGGATCCAAGGTAAAAACGTCCATTCCGTCCTATCGCATCTTCAGGGAATTTGAGTTCGCGTTGAGACTGGTAAGCTTGCTTCTTTAAGAGGCTGCCAAAGGTCCCGGCCGCGCGCCGCTCCTCGGCGGTCAGCTGGGATCTGAGCCCAGCCCACGCCGCCCCGCCTCCCCCGCCCGAGACCCCGCCTCCCCGCCCCCCCCGCCCGAGACCCCGCCCCCGCCCGAGACCCCGCCCCCCGCCCGAGACCCCGCCTCCTGCCCAATATTGGCGGGAAGACGCTAGTTGCTTATCGGCGGAAAGATGTCCGGGTCGTGCGCGGCGGCGGAGGAGAAGGCGGGCTCTAGACAGCGTCTCCAAGTGAAGGTGAGAGACGGCTTGTCGCTTTCGAGTGTGCTCCTGCCGCGGTCTTCGTGAGGGGTCTGTGCCTGGGAGGGCACCAGGACCTGGCGTCCTGCTAACCCCTGCTCTAAAACGATTTCCCTCCGCTGGGTTTGCTTCAAAAGAGAAGCCGGGTATCTGCTCTGGTTATGGAATCTAGCTAGGCCTTCAGCGTGGAAGAAAGCTTCTTTCCAACCCCAGAAATACTGGCCCGATGGGATCAGGGACTCTACCTTTGCTTTTGCAGCGGTTATTGTCAGCTTTCCACTCTTGGAACGATTCCAGTTACTCAAGCTGACAGGGGAGACTCCTCCGTTATAAATTGTGGTCATTACTGTATTATTATTGGTCTGGTAGATTCATATGGGCAAGAAATGTGTCCAGTATAATAAACAGTTCTGTTTGGGTTAATGAATTTGGTATCTAGATTTTGGATGGAAAAAGTTTCCTTATTAGACTATCAGTTTGGATTTTATTTCATTATGAAATAGGAATTGGATTTATTTGCACTGATCTGTAAGAAGAGGTATAAGACCTGGGATTCTAATACTTTCTTTTCCTTCACTGATCTGAATAGGTGGATGAATATAAAGAAAACCAGAACATCTCTTATGTATCTCTGAGACCAGTTTTAGAAAAAACAGTTAAGGTGTGTCTTGTCCCCTTTTCACTCAGTGATTACAAGCTAGACCAACTTAAGCTCTCCAAATCCCTATTAGATAAGAATTCTAACAGTGAAGTGATATGTAAGAAATATAAGGAGCCTGAAATAAAGAAGACTTTCAGAAAGATTTTAACTCCAAAGATGAAAGCCACCACATCTTCTAAGACAGAATCCACTCTGCAAAAATCATCCTTAGATGTTCACACAGAAAATAACAAACGACAACACATGAGCACTTCGGATACAGCCATTCTCAGTGTTGATATGGAAGGCAGTCAGGATGGAGACAGTGATGAAGATACCACATCAGGCCTGGTAAGAGTTTAATTACTGCTTATCCAAATTTTTCTTATTTAAAAAATTGAAGTTCTGATAAGCTAAGGTTATCAAGGGTCTCTTTAGCTCACACAAATTATTTAATTTCTCTTTAGTTGAAATTTTCTTTTTTAAATGTTTAACTAAACTCCCTTGGGTTAATTTAGCTCTTGGTTTTGATTGGTCAAGGAGAGGACTGACTTAATTTTCACTCTGCTTCCCTTTTTCTTCTCAGTTTATTGCATTTATTTTTTTAGTTTACTCATACTTTATGGCATCTTGCTCACCTTTACATGCTTTTATGTACAGTATACCAAAAGAAGCTGGCCTGTGGGACATAGGACACTTGAGTGATCCTTGATGTCAGGGTATGAAAATCATCATTAACTGGTTGTATTGATGTGCTGAATAATATTTCCTTTAAACACAGGAAGGAGTCAAATGATGGAATAGAGAAGGTACATGAGAAAATTTATTAGTTCTATTTAAAATAATAGTTTGAATCATTTTAAGAAATTAGGCATCTAATTTTTTTGGCTTCTATTGCTTACCAGGAATGCTGTACTTCATTTAAAGTGACAAGTGTTATGCAACATAAGATAAAACTGCACCACATGACAAAAAGTTAATGGACGTGCTCTGGCCAGTGTGCCCAGTGGTTAGAGTGTCAGTCTACACACCCAGGGGTCAAGGGTTCAATTTCCAGTCAAGGGCATGTACCTGGGTTGTGCAGGTTCAATCCTTGGCCTGGTTGGGAGGCAACCAATCAATGTGTCTCTCTCTCCCTCTCTCCCTCCCTCCACCTCCATCCCTTCCACTCTAGACTCAATGGAAAAAATACCCTCAGCTGAGGTTTAACCAAAAAAAAATTTTTTAATGTTGATAGAACTAGAACAGAAAATGATGATAGGGAAAGGGAGATAGGATAATTGAGGTGTTGTTGCTATGAAATAGGAATTCAATTTATGCTTTATTGTCCCAAAGTTAAGAACTGGGATCTATGGTGGGACAGCATGGGGTAAATCGTAAGTATGTTGGATTAGGGGTTGGAAGGCTAAGTTTTAGGCATGGCCACTTCTAAGAAACTTTGTGCTTTTTTTTTTTTCTTCTTTTTAAAATTATTTTTATTAATTTGTTTTTGTTACAGATGTTTCACCTTTTTTCCCCATTGACACCCTCCTCCGCATCCCCCCCACCCCATCCCCAGTTTTGTTGTCTGTGTCCATTGGTTATGCATAAAAACTTTGTGCTTTCAAGCAAATCACCTCTGCATTGAGTGGATTATATAAGACCCGTGGTTCTCAAATTTTAGCTTGTATTAGAATTACCTGGAGGTCTTTTTTTAAATTTAATTTAATTTAATTTTTTGCATTTATCTTCAGATAGAGTGGGAAGGAGAGAGGGGGGAAGAGAAAGAGAGAAACATTGACGTGAGAGAGACACATCAACTGATTGCCACCCACACGACCCCAACAGGGGCCAGGGACAAACTGCAACCAAGGTACGTTGCCCTTAGTGGGAACCAAACCGGGACTCTCTGGTCTGCAGGTCGATGCTCTAACCGCTGAACCAAACCAGCCAGGGCTTACCTGGAGGTCTTGTTAAAACTCCATTGCAGGGCTCTACCACTAGAGTTTTTGCTTTTTGCTTTTAATTTAAAAAACTTTTAATTGATTTTAGAGATTTTAGAGACAGAGGGAGGGAGAGAAACATCAATTTGTTGTTTCACTTTAAACATTAATTGGTTGATTCTTGTATGTGCCCTGACCTGGGATCCAACCCAAAATCCAAACGTTGTTGGGGACAATGTTCTAACCAACTGAGCTACCGGCCAGGGCCAGTACCAAACTGTTTTAATTTCTGTAGCTTTTTAGTAAATTTTAAAATCAGAAATGTGAGTCCTACAAATTGGTTCTTCTTTTTCAAGATTGTTTTGGCTATTCTGGGGCCCTTGCATTTCCATATGAATTTTAGGGTCAGCTTGTTCATTTCTATACAAATGGCATTTAGAATTTTGATAGAGATTGCACTGAATTTGTAGATCAGTTTGGTGAATATTGCCATTTGAATGATATTAAGTCTTCCAATCACGATTTAATGTGATAGCTTTCCATTTACTTACCTTGTCTTGAATTTTCTTAAATATTTTGTAGTTTTCAGTGTATAAGCCCTACAATTCTTTGGTTACATTTTTCCCGAAGTATGTTATTCTTTTTGATGCTATTATGAATGGTATGTTTTCTTAATTTCATTTTCTGATTTCTGATTATTTGTTTCTAGTGTATAGAAATACAACTGATTTTTTTTTTATCCTCACCCGAGGACATTTTTGCGTTTTATCTTCAGAGAGAGCAGGAGAAGAGAGAGAGAAACATCAGTATGAGAGAGACACATTGAGTGGTCGCCACCCACACGACCCCAACCGGGGCTGGGGACAAACTCCAACCAAGGTACTTGCCTTTATTGGGAACCGAACCCGGGACTCTCTGGTTTGTGGGCTGATGCTCTAAGTGCTGAGCCAAACTGGCCAGAGCGCAATTGCCATTTTATTGTTCATATTTATTATCTTATTCTTCTTCAGGAAGACCCTTCAATATTTCATGTAATACTGATTTGGTATTGATGAGCTCATTTAGCTTTTCCTTGTCTGGGAAATGCTTTATATGACCACTGATTCTAAATAATAGCTTTGCAGGATAGAGTAATCTTGGTTGTAGGCCCTTGCTTATCATCACTTTGAATATTTCTTGCCACTCCCTTCTGGCCTGCAAAGTTTCTTTTGAGAAATCAGCTGACAGTCTAATGGGAACTCTCTTATAGGTAACTAACAACTTTTCTTTTGCTACTTTTAAGATTCTCTCTTTGTCTTTAACCTTTTGCACTGTGTCTTGGTGTGGGCCTCTTGGGGTTCATTTTGTTTGGGACTCACTGCGCTCCTGGACTTGTATGTCTGTTTTCTTCACCAAGTTAGGGAAGTTTTCTGTCATTATTTTTTTAAATAGGTTTTCAATTTCTTGCTCTCTCTCTTCTTCTGGCACCCCCATGAGGCGAATGTTGATACACTTGAAGTTATTCCAGAGGCTTCTTACACTATCCTAATTTTTTTAGATTTTTTTTCTTTTTGCTGTTCTGATTGTTTTTGCCTCCTTATATTCCAAATTGATTATTTGCTTCTTGGTTTCTATTCTACTATTGATTTCCTGTAAATTATTCTTTAGTTCAGTTAGTGCCTTCTTCATTTCTTTTCTTTTTCCCATATGCTTGTGTTTTTTTTGTTTGTTTGTTTGTTTGTTTTGTTTTTAAAATTTTATTTATTTATTTTTGTGGGATGTGCCCCTAGCAGGAACTGAACCCGGGACTCTCTGGTCCACAGGCCAACGCTCAACCGCTGAGCCAAACTGGCCAGGGCCCATATGCCTGTTTTTTATTAATATTTTTTATTTTTATTGATCTTTATAGAGAGAGGAAGGGAGAAGGAGAGAGAGATAGAAATATCGATGAGAGAGAACATCGATTGGCTGCCTCCAGCATGCCCCCGACTGGAGATTTGGCCCACAACCTGGGCATGTGCCCTGACCAGGAATCGAACTGGCAGCCTTTTGGTTCATGGGTCGATGCTCAACCATTGAGCCACACTGGCCGGGTGGTGCCTTCTTCATTTCTGACTGGAGTTTTGTTTTTTTTTAAAATGTTTTTGAGGTCCTCACTAAGTTCATTGAGCATCCATCCTTACAACCAGTGTTTTGAACTATGTATTTGTTAGATTGCTTATCTCCGTTTCATTTAGTTCTTTTTCTAGAGTTCTGTTCTGTTTTGTTCTTTCATTTGGGACATGTTTCTTTGTCTCTTCACTTTGGCTGCCTCTCTGTGTTTGTTTCTATGTATTAGGTAGAGTTGCTATGTCTCTGGGCTTAGTAGGGTGGCCTATTGTAGTAGGTGTCTTGTAAGGTTCAGTGGCACAGCCTCCCTGTTCACCCCAGCTGGGCCCCCAAGGTACACTCTTTGTGTGGACTGTACACCCTTCTGTTGTAATTGAGTCTTGATTGCTGTTTGCACATCAATGGAGGGATTTACTTAGGCTGATCAGCTGCAAGGACTGGAGGATCAGCTGTGTAGGGTCCACCACACAAAGCAAGACTCACTTCAGCAGGGCTCTCGTACCCGCTCCTTGAGTGTGTCGCTTATAGAGGTGGTTGGGTGGTGGTGCTTCGATGTGGTATGAAGCTGTCCACTGGGTGTGCTGACTCTGGGGGCAAGGTCAGCCACTGCCTGTGTTCTACCTAGGGCCACCAGGCATAAGCTACAAAGTGATGTGCAGATGGTACTTCTTGTGTTGGGCTTGGAGGTGCCCAGGTAAAGCCAAGCTGTGAACCAAGGCTGACTGCTTCTAGTGCCAGGCCTGGGACCACTTAATGAGAGGTATGGGGCTAGCTGAGACCAGATGCTGCTTGTTTGAGAGAATTTAGGAAAATCTGAAGGAGGATCCAAGATAGGGCAATCCTATGGTAAAGCCACTGGAAACAGCTTGGTTGGGCCCGAAAGTTGGGTGGTGCAGGTAATCACTAGGGCAGAGCAAACAGAGTGAGCCAGGTTGCTGGAGTCCCAGCTATGGCACCCATCTGCAGGCCCTGTTGTGAAAGGGCTCACCAAAGGAACAATGGCCTCTGCCAGTACATCTGTCCCAGGAGAAAGCTGACTCTCCAGCCCTCGCCTTGATGCCAAATAACTCAGTTCTTCCCCGTACATCTCTGGTGCCTCTCAAGCTGCCCCCCCAACGCTGGAGCCTGGAGGGAATGAGTCCGAGTAAGTCCGTGTGCAGGTCCTTTAAGAGGAACTGCCTGGGACGCCAGCAGCTTCAGCCTCCTGCAGCCTCAATTCTCACTGGTTTTTACAGCCAGAAGTTATGGGGACTTCTCTTCCTGGCACTGGAACCCTAAGCTGGGGGCCTAGTGTGAGACAGGGACTCCTCACTCCTCAGGGAGGACCTTCCCAGCTGAGGT